TTTTTTTCTGATAAGCTCTTATGCCTGTATCAAATATGTTCTCTTCAGGCAACCCCAGGAGGTCCCACGTTGCAAAAACCGAACAAGGGTACAATATATTTTTTCCCCCTTGCACCTCAAATAATGATTGAAATGCACACTGCAACTTCAACTGATGATTCTCTCATTTATTGGGATGTAGAGCATAAGTAGTGTTAAAATTTACCGTATTCATCAAGTGGAGCATCATAATCGTAGCTTGTAGTTAAGAAAGGCCCCCCAGCCGTGCGCCCGAAATTCGTGCCTCCATGGTACTGTACCACATAGAATACAGTCACCTTATTAGATCCTTGTGAAATGCATATCAAATTGGTAAGACTTTCGAATTATAAGAAACCAAAGTATCGATTAAAACACGAAACCAACCATGTAATAGTTAACAAATGAGCCTCCCTTCTGAAAGAAATCAGCCACAGCAAATGCCAGATCCTGAACTGGCCTCTCGTATTTAGGACTACCGAACTCCGTAAACCTATTGGTCAGTCAAAGAGATAGTATATATAAAATGTATAAAATGGTAGTCAGATTATCTGAAAAAAAAAAAATAATAAATAAATAAATAAAGAATACCAGCCAGTCCATGCCTCAGTCCACATCTTGGGTTTGTATGGTCTGTTGGGACTGAAATCATCACAATAGAAGCCGTTGCATGCATTGATCTACCAAAAACAGCAGCTATGGTTTCAATTATAATTATACCTCCTTATCTCATAATGCAAAAATTCTTACTGAACAAAATCCAGTACAAACAATCACGATAACTCAGCACAGAAGGAGAACTATGATTTTGGCTTGAACGAGATTTTTACCAAGGGGTCCGGGGCATCATCCTGCTTGCACATCATCCATGGGACCCCAGTATTCATTTGAACTGCCATATTTGCAGCCCAAGTCATATATTTATAGCCCTGAGCACCAAATCTCTTTTCTAAGGACCCACCATACTCATTCTCAATCTGAGCAAGAAACCAGTCGAAATTTATGTTAAAGTCTATTGCGTAAATGAATCTAGTTTAGAAAATTAATTTGAAATCGTAATCTGTGACACCAAAACAGCTGGAAACCACACCTGGGAGATTATAATTGGCCCACCCTGTGATGCAAACAGATTTTCACTCTTCATAAGGTCGACAATTTTCCGGGTGAAGCCTTCCATGGCATTCTGCGACAAAGAGATTAAAACAGATGTTTCATAGAAGATTTCCGAATGAATGTACATGTAATTTACGAACACACATCAGCATATTTTGTGCCATTAACACAATCATTCACTCCTAAAAATAGAAAAAACAAGGCAGCTTAGTAAAATCAAAAAGGGGAAGACAGGGATGATGACAATAACCTTGAATGGCTCATTATCTGTCCTGAACCTAATTCCCGGTACATTTTTCAGCCAAACTGGGAATCCCCTGATCACAACAAACAGAAAAACAAAAGGTGAATTAAACACATTCTGCAACAAAGACCCCAAATCGAAATACTGAACAGTGACGAAGGTAATGATTTGGAGTTCAGATATAAGCAAATTTTGAACAGAAATTAGTACCCAAAATTCCATTCAGCACAAACATAAGGCCCGATACGAAGAACTGCATACAGCCCGGCCCTCTGAATGATCTTTAAGAACCTCACCAGATCATTGTTCCCTTCAAAATTATACTGAAAACCCACAAGTAAAAGATTCACAAGACACAAGCTTTAGCCCCAAATTCAACAAATACAGGCAGAAAAACCACCAGCTACTGTACTGAAGAAAATAAACCAACAGAGAGAATAATACTCGGCCAGGGGAAGGCTCGTGAAGGTTCCAAAACACATATGTCTCAATCGCGTCCAGCCCTCCTTCTTTAGCCTTCATTATAAGATCCTCCCACATCTAACCAAAAGTAAAAAAATAAAAATAAATAAATAATTAAAAACCCAACAAAAAATTCTGAAGAAATTAACACAGTGAACATAAAAAAGGACCTCAGGGGTGCTTCTTGGGTAATGAATTGAACCAGAAACGATAATTCTTCTTCGCCCATTAATAATTAAGCTCTTTCTGTCATAACTCACATCACATTGCACAAGCCCACATCCAAGAACCACCGCCATCATACACCCCCAGAAAAAACACCTTGGCAAAAATGATTTATTAGTCTTCATGCTTTCCCTTTTCTGGTTCAAGAGCTCTCTCTCTCTCTCTCTCTCTCTCTCTCTCTCTCTCTCTCTCTCTCTCTCTCTCTCTCTCTCCCTCTCTCTACAGAGAAAAAAAAAATGAGCTAATTTGAAGCGAAATTCAAGGAAGAATGTGGGCGTAGGCTTAACTGGAGTGCGGGAAAACTGAAAAACTGCGCATTTTTACTTTGTGACGAGGAATAAATTTTTCTAAGTGTCTCTGTATTTTATATGCAACTCAAAAGTAGTTGGTGAGCAGCGTGTACACAGCTTTTGATAGTCACTCGAGACTTTTTGAGAGAGGAGCTCAACTCTGAAAAACGCAGAAATTGGAGTATAGATTATTGAATTTTTATACTGAATTCCTATAATTTTCTTCTCCTTTTTCTCCTTTTTCACACTTTTTTCAAGTATGTAGAAGAAAAAACAAAAAGGGAAAAGAACAAATTGACCAGCCGATAACAAGACGACAGAAAAGAATATTAATATTAATTAAGGAAAATGCTACGATTCAATTACAGAACTATTTTGTTGGGGTTTGTAACCGTACGGTCCGTTACGAAACTATTATGTTGGGGTGTGTGATCGTTAGATCAACTATCTCTGACGGTTATATGATGATCTAACGGTTACGAACCTGACGAAATGATTGCGTAACAGGACCTTAGCCTTTACCCATTAATATAATGATAATGTATCAAACATCATTAATTAATAGTACTGATTAACACTACGAATAATTGTATGGAATTTTTTAATGAGTGTGTGAGTCACGCTCCGGCTGATGGGTTCCCGGATTCCGGGGGGACATGATAGATGGCTATTGTTAATTAGGAGTAGTATAAATTAGCACACAGATTGTGAAAAAAATTTGTTAGATAAAGAATGTGTATAATTATATAAAAATGAAATCTTGTGACATTCGATGGATGTATGTATTGTTGGTACACCATAAATTTGAGTAGTTAAAATGTGGTTAATGTGACGCTAAAATTAATGCAGCTGTTCGGCCTTCCGTTACTGCAGTTGGTCAAAAAAGTGGCGAGTCGTTTTCTACCCAGGATGCTTCTCTGATTTTGTCTTTTTTTTCTTTTTTTTTTCTTTATTTTGATAGGTACATGTAAATGAGTAATGTTACAAGTACATAGAAGTATATACAAGGATGTGCATAACACTCCCATTGAGTGAGACTACTAAAAATACAAAATCAAGTAGACCCTATTCCATGTGAGTGTTATGTACACCTTTATGTACATTTATTATGTACATGTAGCAAAATGACATATAAAAACTTAATGGGCAGCCACATGCTTGATTCCTCATTCGCGAATTAAAATTCTAAGAGGACAATTATAGGCCGATTGCTCATTCAAGTCCCTAACCAAGACAAAAGTACATAAAACATATGCACGTTGCGGCGCGACGCCCATCGCGAACTGAGTCTGGGCACCTGGGCACTGATGTAGCATTAAAGAGAGTAGCTCGGCAGGTATGCTGACTTAACCAATTCAATGAGAATGCCGCTAGATGGTGTAGCATTAAAGAGAGTAGCTCAGCAAGTATGCTGACTTAACCAATTTACTGAGAATGTTGAGCTCGGATAGGCTCAGCGAGCTATGTACAAGTAAGACCAAGTTCGGGACCTCGGTCGGATGACCGAGCTAACAGATCAAATATGAGAGGTTGAACTTAATAAGGCTCGGGAGACCATGGGCAGGCACAACGTGAGTGCTGGGGAATGAGCTCGGCAATACAAATTGAAGGGGATAATGCTACGACATAGTACTCATGCGCACGTTGTGGATATCCTCCTTGAAATAGAGAGGTGAGGTCAATCAGGACTCCAGGATCATGCGATATGATAAGCGATGCTGAGAGACATGCGGAAGAAGGACTCTAGTCGTCGCATGAGTCTTTACGGCATCTTCATTTTTCTATAAAAGTAGCAACAGGTTCTTCAATCAGGGGGATACAAAAACTAAGGAAAGATATTTTTCCGTCCCGTTACTCTGTCTTTTCTTCTTTCTGATACCATACTGACTTGAGCGTCGGAATGCCGACGTCGGGACCACTCCCGGCGTGTTCTGTAGGTACTGATGATCGAGAAGACATTACTCGGTTCGAGAGAAAAGGTTGGGCAGTTCGGGACAATCTTACGTATCAAATTGGCGTTGTCTGTGGGAAACTCGGTTTTGTACCAGAATATAAGAGGTTGTTATTTCTCAATTAAAAAAAAAAAAAAAAGAGGAGAGCGACAAGGATCATGGCAGTAGACAATTGAAGAAGATCTTTACAAAGGAGATGGATAATGCGTAGACTCATAGGGCTTTTGGAATAGGTCTGCCGTTGGGATGGTCACTGCTGCCTACTACCCCCAAAGAAACATTGTCGGCTCCGAGCCTGACCTTGAATCCGGTGACAGGAGCTAAGGGGAACTTGGCGAACCCAGGAGGACCGGGTGGTCCGACAGACAAAAGGAAGGAGCTAGGTACCCCGATCGATTAGGGAGTGAACCAGGTCATTTTGGGTTCTGGGTTAGCGGTTGTTAGAAGGGCTCCCTTGATAATAGGCAGGTGATCGTGGCAGAAGGACAAAAATTTCGAAGGATAATCTACCTTCAGCACCACAGGGTATTTTGTCATTCGTATGACCAGGTCGGAGTTGGATAGGATCATTGCTGAGGCGATAGGCTGAGCTCAAGAAGTGGATAGGAAAGCTACTTTTGAATCGTTTCGGCAACCTCCACCTCAACGGCCACCTGCGTCTCAACAGCAGCACCAGCGTCAAGAAAGAAGCAAAGATGACTACATCAAATCGGTGACCTCCCACCCGGATGCAACGACACAACTGAATGGGTTAACCTTGGAGAGGTTGGAAGCTCAAATGCGTGAATTGCAATCTCGAGTTAAGGGTAAGAGATCCATAGTCTCACTATGACATCCTTTCGCAGAGGATGTCTTGGGAGAGGATTGCCTAGCAACTTCAGGAGTTGAGGTTGTCTTACGATGGATCGACAGAACCACCTAGGCATTTGAGATCGTTTGATGACATAGGCGTGTTGCACAAGTGTAGCGATGCTTTAAGTTGCCGAGCCTTTTTAACGACATTAAAGGGGTCGACGCTGTTAGTGTTATACTAAAAGCTTGGCTTTGGATGATATTACATTTTTTCCCTTTATGAATGAGAAACATGCTAGATTAAACAAATTCTACGTTCTGTTGTTTTGCATTAGATAGTGTGGGTCATCATCGGGCGAACCGAAGATCATGCTATCAGTTACACGCGAAACAAGAATAATGGTTCACAACCTAGATGGACATGAACACCCCATCAGAATGATTGTAGTGTCAACTGTCTAATTTGTCTTGACTGATTAATCACACTAGTACATTTATGTATTGAATAGGATCCCAGAAAGGAGCAGTTCTTTTATATTGATCGTAGTAAACAAACTAGGCCTCGGTTAATTATTGCGTGCTCTTAACCCTAAGATATTAAACATACATATATGTGTAGTATTTATTACTTTGATTCACATGGGTGAGGTTTAGTGAACTGGGCCAATAGACCCTCTGTATTGGGTAATATTGCTACATGTATGATGTGTTGTTAGGGTATTTACGGTCACCATGTACGTTTAGTTTGATGATGTCCCCAGAGTGATTTTATGAAGGATTATTATGCTAAACCCTGTCGGTGGATTAAATTACGACATAGTAATAATGT